AATCAAACCTGGGTCCCTGGCGCTGTGAGGCAGCAGTGCTAACCACTTGAAACTTACATCTCCTTTCTAATAGAGTTCTCCATATCCTGCTTCTGCAATTTCTAGAATGCAGGAATGTATGAGGAAGTCAGCCATTTGTTCACTTCACTCCCACCAGTTGTATTATCCTTTGGTCTCTCTGCCTATAAACTCTGTGTCTCTGTGCTCTCCTCTCACTGCACCTGACAAAGGGGATGCGCTCCGAAAGCTTGTGATTTCAAACAAATCTGTTGGACTATAACCTGGTGTTGTGTGATTTTTGACTTTATCCACTCCAGTCCAACACTGGCACCTCCACATCTTGTTGTGACCAAGGTATCCTCTATCCTGAATTAACTGCAGACGGTACACGTTTCAGGGCCCTATTTATTGCAGTTGCTGAGATGGCTGTACTTTTAGTGCAGCATATTCTTTTGGCTGTTAACAGCTAGCAACATACTGACTGTACCCAACCTGGCTGGTTGATTAAAAAAACTCTCAAAACCGTCCAGGGTGGGTTGCACAATTGCATAAAAGTAAAATATTGCAGCTGCTAGAAATCTGGAACAGCGCAATGCTTGAGAAATTCTGCAGGTCTGACAGCATCTCTGGAAAGGCAGACAGTTAACATTTTGAGTCTGCTTATGCTTCAGAATGGAGAATTGCAGATTATCTACACCGCCCCCCCCAACAATTCCTTATCACCTGTACAAAGGACAGAATGAGAGAATCCATTTCACTTACCCTGAGTTATGCATTGGCACACAAAAATGTAACATCTTATTTTCTGTGCTTGACTTAGATATCAAGCGAAATGATTACACACCAGACAAAATGATCATGTCTCAAGATGGAGTGGAAGTTGCAATTCAGTCTGGCAGTGGTACCAAAGATGTAAGAAATTCGATACGCTTGATGATTTAGGAGAACGGTACAGGGAGGAGTTTCCTCCAGTTGGATACTTGAAATTGCTAATGTTACCTGTTACTAGATCAGAGTTTTTTTGGATGGAACTTTGAAATCTAACTTTGGATGGTACATTGAGATGAAGTGGTAACAGATTCTCTGGCATATCTCTAGTTTGGTGTCATACATTGACAGTACAATTGAAATGTTAACTATTTTTTACCTGTCTTTGCTTGTTGAAGATTCCAGTCATGACACAAGCAGCATATGCTGACATTGTTAATGACTAGTAGTGATCTGTTAACAGTAGAAGAAAGGTACATTTCACAGAAGCAGTCTGTATAAAGCAAACTTAATTGAACAATGTCAAAATTTTAAAAGGTTAAATGGCCAATTTTTAAGTCTTCATGCATTTTAATCCTTTTTAATCAATTTATTAAGAAAAGCCATGTAAACTGGTAAAACTAAGCCGCATAATATTTATTCAAACCATTGTTATCTTGCAAAAATCCTTGTCATATGTTTTGTCTGACAATCAGACAGGTTTTAATAGGCCAATCAATTAAAAAGAATGCTAAATATCTGATCATTGTCCAACCAGCAGTGTCATAAAATGTTCTGGTGACCTGATTTTTTAATGAATTTCAATTGTGTAGACACTTTGGTGTAATGCTAGTGTTGTGGTACATGCAGATTGAATTTAAAAGAAAAAGTATTGAAATCCTTGTAAATATGGTAATGGGCAGATTGCAATCTATCTTTATGCAAATAAATGAGACCCAAATCTGTTGAATTGTCAACACGATGCTCTGTCTACCTTAAATATTTATGTAAATGGTAGCATTTGGGCACCTTTTCTATGTTACAAAGAGGTACTATTGTCATTTTTAAAAAGGTGTTTATATGAAGAACCGTGTAATTTTTAATCTAATGTATCTTATAGATACTTTACTTAAGGCACGAACACAACTTGTAATAAAATATGACAGTGGTTTTACAAAGGCTGGATGGTGCAAACCAAGAGTTAGTGGGATCATGCCGCATAAATTTTGTACATTTAATCTAATAAAAGATTTTTGAAATAAACTTAATGTGCGTTCTATACACCGCATAAACACTGTCTCCAGTTCATTTGTGAAGCATTTTAAAGAGCCTGAGCCACATACAGGATCTTGAAGCAGTGGTCATTAATTTTGTTAGGCTATGGCTTCTGGTGCTTAAATACAAATACTTGACTGGTCACTTTTAGTAACAGCAATCACCAGCCAAAAATGTACACTGGGAGATTTATAGATCACATCAGACAAGTACCAACGAGAGGAAGATTATACAAAAAAAACCCAAAAGTCTCTGATGTTTCTGCTGAATGTTATCCAGCAGCTTTAGATGCAAGTGAAAGCAGCTGATTGTAGCCACAGCATCTCTGGCAATGACTTCTGACAGCCTCCAGAATTCACCAAAGATCTACTGTATCTGTAATCTCTTCCTGTCCTAAAACCTCCACCTTACAGTGTCCATTCCTCTGACTGAGTTTTATTATTCCTCTCCCCATTATTTGCTGCTGTCTTCAACTGTCAGTAATCTCTGTTTGGGTTTTCCTTTTTAAAAACCCCCTCTCAAAAAAAAATAGAAAATAAGAGTAGGCCGTTCAGCCCTCAAGTCTGCTTCACCATTCCAGTATGATCCTGGCTGATCATCCGACTCAGTCCCCTGTCCCTGCTTTCTCCCCATATTCTTTGATCCCATTAGCCCTAAGGATTATATCTAACTCCTTCCTGAAAAGATTGTGTTTTGACCTCAACCACTTTCTGTGGCAGAGAATTCCACAGGTTTTCCACTCTCTGGGTGAAGAAATTTCTCCTCATCTCATTTGTAAATGGCCTACCTCATACCTTAGTCTGTGACCCCCCCTGCTTCTGGACTCCCTGATTCTTGGGAACATTCTGCATACATCCTGAAAGGGGTTCCTTGAAAATTTGCCTGAAATCACTGACAAATCCTCCTCAGCTCCTCCAGCCCATTGCATACTTGTTGTAGGCTGCTGACTCAGGTTGATAGTCTGGGTGATACTTATTGACATTTCGTAACCTAAAGAAGTCCAAGCTCTGGCTGTGCTTATCCTGGGTTTGCAAAGGGCCTGAAATAATGTGGGTCCATTATTGGCCCTCAATTTATCCCACACCAACATCATCAACTGGTCAAAGTCATCTTGCTGCTTATGGGAGCTTTACTGTGCACAAATTAGCTGCTGCTGCTTTGAGAAGGCCGAAAGTCTTGGAAGTTGTTCAAAATGTGAGTCTTTGAATACTAGTGACCTTTTTGGAGCATTTACTTAACCTATTTTAAATGAACTTCAGATGGTAGTTATGTTATATTGATGTAGAATTGGGGGATGGGATGAGGACAAGGGTGTGGAGGTACGGGGTGGGTGAGAGATATTTGGGGTGGTGAATGGGGGTATAATTGAGTGCGAGTAATTTTTGTGGCGTAGATTTAGGGGTGAGTGGTTATTGGAGGAGTTGAATCATATTGAGGGTGAAGGTTATTAAGGGGAATGGTGTGTGATAACTGGGAGGGGTGGTTATTGAGGTGAATGGGGGTGATAACTGAGCAAGGAGGGTGGTTAGATATTTTCCAATCAACCTGTTAAGATGTTATGATACACCTCTGGAGCAGGTGAGGCTTGAACTCAGGTCTGGCTCAGAGTTAGGGCCAGTACCACTGCACAGGTGAGAGGGGTGATAACTGATGGTGGGGTTTAGGGTGTGATTATTGGGATGGGGGGATGTGGGAAGGGAGTCAGTAAACAAAGAACAATACAGCACAGGAACGGGCCATTCGGCCCTCCAAGCCTAGGTGGATGCATTTTGTCCTTCCATACTAAAACTATCTTCACTTACAGGATCCATATCCCTCATCCCTCTATTCCCTTCCTATTCATGTATTTGTCCAGGTGCTTCTTGAATGTTGCTATTGTGTCTGCTTCCACAACCTCCTCTGGCAGCACGTTCCAAGCACTCACCACCCTTTGTGTGAAAAGCCTGTCTCGCACATCTCTTAAACTTCCCCCTTGCATTATGAACCTGTGTCCCCTAGTAATTGACCTCTCCACCAGGAGAAAAGCCTCATACTTTCCACTCTATCCATGCCATTTACAATCTTAAACTTCTATTAGGTCACCCCTTAACCTCCTGCATTCCAGTGAAAACAAACCCAGTGTATCCACCCTTTCTTCATAGCTAAATTCCCCCATACCAGGCAACATCCTGGTAAACCTTTTCTGTACCCTCTCAAAAGCAGCCACATCCTTCTGGTAGTGTGACGATCAGAACTGTACACAATATTCCAAGTGTGGCCTAACTAAAGTTCTATAAAGCTGCAGCACAACTTGTCTATCCTTACACTGAATGTCCCTTCCAATGAAGGCGAGCATGCCATAGGCCTTTTTTAATGACCTTATGTACCTGCGCTGCCACTTTCAGTGATCTGTGGACCTGCACACCCAGATCCTGCTGCATATCATTACTTTTAAGGGTTCTGCCATTCACTGTATAGTTTCCACTTCACCTTCCAAAATGCATCACCTCACTCCATCTGCCATTTTTCTGCCTATACCTCCAATATATCCTGCTGTATCCTCTGACAATTGCCCTCACTATCCACAATTCCACCAAACTTTGTCATCCACAAACTTACTAATTAGACCAGCTACATTTTCCTCCAAATCATTTATGTAGATCATGAACAGCAGAAATCCTTGTTTCCTGTAGAACACCGCTAGTCATAACTCTCCATTCTGAAAGACATCCTCCTACTACTACCCTCTGTCTCCGATGACTAAGCCAGCTCTGTATCCATCTTGCCAGCTCACCCCTGATACCAAGTGACTTCACGTTTTGTATCAGTCTGCCATTAGGGATTTTATCAGAGACTTTAATGTTGTCGACATGGACTTCAGGAACTACTTTTTCTTCATCAGTCATCTTTGTTGCCTGAAAAAAACTCTATCAAGTTACTGAGGCATGACTTCCTCTGCGCAAAACAATGCTGTTTACCCCTAATCAGTCCATTTGTTTCTAAATGTGCATAGATCTTGTCCCTGACAATCTTTTCCAATAATTCCCCTACCATTGATGTGGGGCTCACAGCCTGTAATTTCCTGGATCATCTCTGCTACTCTTCTAAATGGACAACACTGGCTATTCTCCAGTCCTCTCAGACCTCACCTGTTGCTAAAGAAGATACAAAGATGTCTGTCAATGCTTCAGCAGTTTGTTCTCTTGCCTCCTCTTCCGTTTTAGTAGCAACTTGGCTTAAAAATTTGGCACTCCCTTCCCTGAGATCATCCTCCACCAATTTGTTCTCTTTGAATACTGACACAAAGTATTTGTTTAGATCCTCACCTACCTCTTTGGGCTCCACACACAGATTCCTCCCTTTGTCCTTGCGTGGGCCATCCCTTTCCCTGGCTACCTTCTTGCTTTTAATATATGTATATAAAGCCTTGGGATTCTCCTTAATCCTGTTTGCTAACAATGTTTCATGACCCCTTCTACATAGAACATAGAAGATAGAACAGTACAGGCCCTTTGGCCCATGATGTTGTGCCGAACCTTTACCCTAAACCTAAGGTCTATCTAACCTCCACCCCTACCTTATACTATCATCCATATGCCTATCATATAGCCACTTAAATGCCCCTAATGAGGCCAACTCCACTACCCTCTCCGGCAATGCATTCCGCGTCCCGACCACACTCTGAGTAAAGAACCTATCTCTGACGTCTCCCCTATATCTACCTCCACTCACTTTAAAACTAAGCCCCCTCGTAATAGCTACCTCCATCCTAGGAAAAAGTCTCTGGCTGTCCACTCTATCTATACCTCTGATCATTTTGTACACCTCTATCAAGTCACCTCTCATCCTTCGTCGTTCTAAAGAGAAAAGCCCTAGCTCTCTCAACCTTTCCTCGTAAGACCTTCCCTCCATTCCAGGCAACATCCTGGTAAAACTCCTCTGCACCTTTTCCAACACTTCCACATCTTTCTTGTAATGAGGTTAGACACAATACTCCAAATGTGGCCAAACCAGGCTGCTGGAGCATAACTTCACAGCTCTTGAACTCAATCCCTCTATTAATGAAAGCTAACACCCCATACACCTTCTTAACAACTCTATCCACTTAGGTGGCAGCTTTCAGGGAACTGTGGATATGAACCCCAATATCCCTCTGCTCCTCCACACTGCTAAGAATCTTTCCATTAACCCTGTATTCTGCTTTCAAGTTTGTCCTTCTAAAATGAATCACCTCTCACTTTTCAGGGTTAAACTCCATCTGCCACTTCTCAGCCCAGCTCTGCATCCAATCAATGTCCTTTTGTAACCTAGAACAGCCCTTCGCACTGTCCACAACGCGACACACCTTCGTATTGTCCACGAACTTACTAATCCACCCTTCCACTCCTTCATCCAAATCATTTACAAAATCACAAATAGAAGGGGACCCAGAACTGATCCTTGTGGTACACTACTCGTAACTGAGCACCATGTTGAATATTTTCTGTCCATTACCACCCTTTTTCTTCTAAGGGTCAGCCAATTCTTAATCCAATCTGCCACATTTCCCCCTGTCCCATGCCTCCTTACTTTTTGCATGAGTCTACCATGGGGAATCTTATCAAATGCCTTACTTAAATCCATGTATACCACATCCACTGCTCTACCTTCATGCAAGTGTTTGGTCACCTCTTCAAAGAATTCAATAAGGTTTGTGAGGCATGATGTACCCCTCACAAATCCATGCTGACTATCACGAATCAAACTGTGCCTATCCAAGTGATAATAAATCCTATCTCTCAGAGCCCTTTCCAATAATTTGCCCACCACTGAAGTAAGACTAACTGGCCTGTAATTTCCCGGGTTATCCCTATTCCCTTTCTTGAACAAGGGAATGACGTTTGCCGCTCTCCAATCTTCTGGCACTATACCCGTGGACAGTGAGGACGAAAAGATTGTCGCCAAAGGCCCTGCGATCTCTTCCCTTGCTTCCCATAGAATCCTTGGATAAATCCCATCAGGCCCAGGGGATTTATCTATCTTCAAGTTCCTCAAAATTCCTAGTACATCTTCCTTACTAACATCAACCTCTGCTAGCGTACCAGCCTGTTTCACACTGTCCCCCTCCACAACTGGGTCCCTCTCACTTGTGAATACCGAAGAAAAGTATTCATTAAGGACCTCTCCTATCTCTTTACGCTCTGTGCACAAATTCCCTTTACAATCCTTGATTGGCCCTATCCTTTCTCTGGTCATTCTCTTATTCCTCACGTACGTGTAAGAAGCCTTGGAGTTTTCTTTGATCCTATCTGCCAAGATTTTCTCATGCCCCCTTATAGCTCTCATAAGCCCTTTCTTCACCTCCTTCCTGGCTAACCTGTATCCCTCTAAAGCCTTTTCTGATCCTTGTTTCCTAAACCTTATATAACTATCCTTCTTCCTCTTAACCAGTCGTTAAGAGAACCAAGGCGCCTCATTCAACCGCATCTTCCCTGCCTGCTAGGGGCACACGCAGTATGCATTCCTTAAACAATCTCCACATTTCCACAGTGCTCTTCCCTGACAGCATCTGTCCCCATTTTATGTTACCCAGTTCTTGCCTAACAGAATTGTAATTATCCTTCCCCCAATTATAAACCTTACCCTGCTGTATGTACCTATCCTTTTCCATGACTATTGTAAAAGTAACAGAGTTATGATCGCTACTGCCAAAATGCTCTCCTACCAACAGTCTAACACTTGGCCCGGTTCATTGCCAAGCACCAAATCCAAAGTGGCCTCTCCTTGTGTTGGTCTATCTACATACTGTGTCAGGAATCCTTCCTGAACGCACTGGACAAAATCCACTCCATCTAAACTACTACAACTAAAATGTTTCCAATCAATATTTGGAAAGTTGAAGTCACCCATGACTACTACTTCTGCACCTTTCCAGTATCTGCCTCCCAATCCACTCCTCTACTTCTCTGCAACTATTAGGGGGTTTTTTTAAAAAAAAAAAAAAACCCCAACAAAGTGACTGCTCCTTTCTTGTTCCTGACCTCAACCCAAACTGACTCTGTAGACATCATTCTCGAACTGCCTTTCAGTAGCTGCTCTTCTAGCCCTGACTAGCAATGCCACTCCCCTGCCTCTTTTACCACCCTCCCTTTTCTTTAAAGTATCTAAATCACAGAACTTCCAACAACCATTTCTGTCCCTGAGTTACCCAAGTTTCTGTAATGGCCACAACATCATAGTTACATGTACTGACCCACGCTCTAAGTTCATTAGCCTTACTTCTGATACTTCTAGCATTGAAGTATACCCACTTCAAACTATCCCTGCAACCACAATTACGCTCCATTGACTGCATTTCTTTATTAACAACCTCACTCCCTGTTGTGTCTGTTGAGGTATTCAGCCTTCCATCCTCTGAATTACAAATCCGGTTCCCCACCCCCTGACGATCTAGTTTAAACCATCCCGTATAGCTCGAGCAAACCCCCCTCCCAGGATATTTGTGCCCTTCCGGTTCAGGTGCAACCCATCCTTATTGTACAGGTCCTACCTTCCCCAGAATGTGCTCCAATTATCCACATAATAGAAGCCCTCCCTCCTACACCAGCCCTGTAGCCATGTGTTTGGCTGCACTCTCTGCCTATTTCTTACCTCGTTATCACGTGACACTGGTAGTAATCCAGAGATAACTACCCTGTTTGTCCTGGACTTCAGCTTCCAACCTAACTCCCTGTACTCATTTTTCACATTCTCTGTCCTTTTTCTACCTATGTCATTGGTACCGATGTGTACCATGACTGCTGGTTGCTCACCCTCCCCCTTAAGGATCTTGAAGACACGATCTGAGACGTCACGGATCCTGGCACCCGGGAGGCAATATACCATCCGCTTGTCCGCATCCACAGAACCGCCTGTCTGTGCCTCTTACTATCGAATCCCCCACTACAATTGCTCTCCTATTTTCCCCCCTTCCCTTCTGTGCCACAGGGCCAGGCTCAGTGCCAGAGACCTGTCCACTATGGCCTTCCTCTGGTAGGTCGTTTCCCCCCCCAACACTATCTAAAACGGTATACTTATTATTGAGGGGAATGGCCATAGGGGATCTCTGCACTGTCTGCCTATTCCCTTTCCCCTTCCTGACAGTCACCCAGCTACCTTTTTCCTGTACCTTGGGTGTGACCACCTCCCTATAACTCCTTTCTATCACGCCCTCAGCCTCCCGAATGATCCGGAGTTCATCCAGCTCCAGCTCCAGTTCCCTAACGCGGTTTGTGAGGAGCTGAAGTTGGGTGCACTTCTCGCAGGTGAAGTCAGAGGGGACACCAGCAGTGACCCTTACCTCCCACATCCTGCAAGAGGAGCATCCAACTGCCCTAGCTTCCATTCCCTCTACTCTAGATTTCCAGAAGAATAAAAAAAAAGCCTTGCCTTACCAACCCTCCACAAAGTCTTTTTTTTGATTAGAGGAGGAGGATGAGTGAGAGACACTACACATATAGTGTTTCAGGTTTAGCCAATGCCCGAATATATTAGTTCACTTCCTGGCTTGCGTCCTCACCAACTCCCGTCGCTGAATTCCTTAAGTTCTCTCCTTATATACTTCAAGGGCTTTGTCAGTTCCTATCCTCTGTGCCCTTATGTCTGCTTCTTTTTTCTTTCTGACCAAGGTCGTAACATCCCTGGTACTCCAGTTCACATAACTTGCCGTACCTATCCTTCATTCTCGCAGGAACATGCCACTCCTGAACTCTTATCAACTGCCATTTGAAATACTTCCACATGCTCGATGTGGATTTACCCTCAATCAGCTGCCTCTAATCAAAATTCTCCAATTCCTGCCTCGTATTGTTATGGTTCACCTTCTCCCAATTTAACACCTTCACCCAAGGACTGCTGTTAGCCCCATCCATGAGTATCTTAAAACTCACGGTATTATGGTCACTGCTCCCCAAATCCTCCCCCACTGAAACTTCATTCACCTGGCCAGGCTCATTTCCCAAAACCAGGTCCAGTATAACCCCTTGTTTCAGAGTTAGTAGGAACTGCAGATGCTGGAGAATCTGAGATAACCAGGTGTAGAGCTGGATGAACGGAGCAGGAAGGCTGATGCTTCAGGCCTAGACCCTTCTTCAGAAATGGGGGAGGGGAAGGGGGTTCTGAAATAAAAAGGGAGAGAGGAGGAGGCGGATAAAAGATGGATAGAGGAGAAGATAGGTGGAGAGGAAACAGACAGGTCAAAGAGGTGGGGATGGAGCCAGTAAAGGTGAGTGTAGTTGGGGAGTTAGGGAGGAGATAGGTCAGTCCAGGGAGGATGGACAGGTCAAGGGGGTGGGATGAGGTTAGTAGGTAGAAGATGGGGGTGGGGCTTGAGGTGGGAGGAGGGGATAGGTGGGAGGAAGGACAGGTTAGGGAGGCGGGGTCAAGCTGGGCTGGTTTTGGGATGTGGTAGGGGGAGGGGAGATTTTGAAGCTTGTGAAGTCCACATTGATATCACTGGGCTGCAGGGTTCCCAAGCGGAATATGAGTTGCTGTTCCTGCAACCTTCGGGTAGCATCGTTGTGGCACTGCAGGAGGCCCAGGATGGACATGTCGTCTGAGGAATGGGAGAGGGACTTGAAATGGTTCGCGACTGGGAGGTGCAGTTGTTTATTGCGAACCGAGCGCAGGTGTCCTGCAAAGTGGTCCCCAAGCCTCCGCTTGGTTTCCCCGTTGTGGCCTCCTCTACATCGGGAACAGCGGATGCAGTATACCACATTAGCAGATGTGGAGGTGAACATCTGCTTGATGTGGAAAGTCTTCTTGGGGCCTGGGATGAGGGTGAGGGAGGAGGTATGGGGGCAGGTGTAGCACTTCCTGTGGTTGCAGGGAAAAGTGCCGGATGTGGTGGGGCTGGAGGGGAGTACGGAGCGGACAAGGGAGTCACGGAGAGAGTGGTCCCTCCGGAAAGCAGACAAGGGTAGGGAGGGAAAAATGTCTTTGGTGGTGGGGTCGGATTGCAGATGGCGGAAGTATCGGAGGATGATGCGTAGGATCCGGAGGTTGGTGGGGTGGTACGTGAGGACGAGGGCGATTCTGTTTTGGTTGTTATTGTGGGGAGGGGGTGTGAGGGATGAGTTGCGGGAAATGCGGGAGACACGGTCGAGGGCGTTCTCGACCACTGAGGGGGGGGAAGTTGCGGTCCTTGAAAAACGAGGACATCTGAGATGTACGGGAGTGGAATGCCTCATCCTGGGAGCAGATGCGGCGGAGGTGAAGGAATTGGGAATAGGGGATGGCATTTTTGCAGGAAGGTGGGTGGGAGGAGGTGTATTCTAGGTAGCTGTGGGAGTCGGTGGGCTTGAAATGGATATCGGTTTCGAGCTGGTTGCCAGAGATGGAGACAGAGAGGTCCAGGAAGGAGAGAGAGGTATTAGAGATGGTCCAGGTGAACTTAAGGTTGGGGTGGAAGGTGTTGGTGAAGTGGATGAACTGTTCGAGCTCCTCGTGGGAGCACGAGGCGGCGCCGATACAGTCATCAATGGGGGGTTAGGGTGTAATTGGCTGGGTTGGAGATGGTTGTGAGGGAGATGGTTTTTGGGGGTTAGGGTGTAA